AAAAGCTGTTTGGCTGTAAACAGTTCCCAAGCTTCAAAAGTCATTGCGCTAACCTCTCATGCACATAATACATATATTTAATAATTAAATCATTAGCCCCGAGACTGGGTTTTGTTGTGGAAAACACAGAATTAGATTAACCGCAGTTAGGAGTGCGTCTTAATGCCCCTTGAAGACTTGCCAAATATTATTAATGTGATAATAAGCGTAGCGAGAACAATACAATTATTAGAGATAACATCAGCGGCAGACTGCGATTCTGGAGTGTGAAGGACTAGCAGACTCACTCATGTGATACGCCTTTAAGTGCCTCTCCGGATTACATTAACCTCCATTAGAATAACTCTGCAGCTATGAATATGTAAGACACGGATATGAATATGCATATGGATATGCTAATTGAGCTGAACTTCAGATCAAAATTATGGATTAGGTTTTCTTTGTGGATTCAGCTGTAGTGTTTTTGACACAAAAGAAATCATAAGTTCTTTGTATCAATGACACATTTGCATTTGTGAGTTACCTACAGGGATAAATCACCGCTAATATTTAAACGTGCTGTTAATTCACTCTCCCTCAGGCCACCCAAAATAAAGGTTTTCTTTAGCAGAATGTTAAATGGGAAGAAACTATGGTTCTTGGTGATTCATAGATTGCAAGTAAATGACTACCAGTGCTTTTAGAGGCAAAATACATATACAAGAAAAGCTTCATTAATTCCCTTATACTCCAGATGGTGCAGGTAATTCGGTAACACTTTATAATAACTACACACTATGAACCATTTATTAAGGATTAGCAAATAGTGAATTGGTTATCTTTTAAGCATTAACTCTACATTAATAAACATTAAAGCAGTTTATAACTGCAGCTGCAAATGCTGTACTCTTGGCTTATAATCCCATTTATAATGTGCTTAATAATTGTTCTTTCACACTTTGGTAATGATCTATTTTTCAATACAAAACTAAGTATTGCATTATTTACAATCCAGTTATTTAAGCATAGTTAGTTGTTTTTTAAGATAATTCAGAATGAGTTATTAAATGATTTATAAACTATTCAAATTAACATTTACTCAGGCATATACTAAAAGTTAATTTGTATGTTATTAAATGTTTTATTAACTCAACTCCATCCAGTTTTGAGACCTAATCTAAAGTGAGGACTATTCAATTAAAGGCTCAATTCAATTCGAAAAAGGAAAAATTACATAAACAACTTTATTCAATCCTATTCGTTTGAAGATACACAAATGAAACTGTACTTTAAATGAAAAAATTATCTTTGCAACCTTATCTTAAATAAAATTAATGTACAGTTTAAACATTGCTTCTAATTATATTGTTAAATTATTATATTGATGTTGTTTTATCCAGTTTTATGTTGTATTTTGACACCTGTTATTTAGCAATATTTGAACGTTACAGTAGTTTTATTTTTTAGATAAGATTGCAAATATTATTGTTTATTTGATACTTTAAACCTGCAATTGTCCTTTATAAGGGATTTATAAAGCATGAATAGTCTTCACTTTAGATGAGGTCACAAAAATGCATGAAGTTGAGTTAATAAAGCATTCTTTAACATTTTACTGTATAGTAACCATTAATATATGCCTGAATAATACGATATACAAGCGTTGATTTCAATAGTTTATTAATCATTTACTAACTCATTCTGAAAAATCTTAACCACCAACTACTCTTGAATAAATCATTAACAAAGTATGAAAATACAGTTATTAGGCACATTATAAATGTGGTTGTAAGTTATGAGTACAGCATTTGTCGCTGCAATTATAAACTGCTTACTAGCGTTTATTAATGTAGAGTTAATGCTTAACAAATAATGAAATCACTAGATACTAATGCGTAGTAAATTATTCATAGTGTGTAGTTATTATAAAGTGTTACCGTTAATTCTTATGAAGTGATAAATTAATTGTAGAAGAAACTTAACATTGTTAAGAACATGATTACCTTTATTTCATCCAAAGTGTTTTCATGGCAGCACGTGTTCTGTTGAATAGCTCATCATGTTTGGAAGATGAACGAAGGTCTCAGGAAATTGGAACAACATGAGGGCGAGTAATTAATAACTGAATTTTACTTTTTTGGGAGAACTTACCCTTTAATGTACTTCTGAATTCTAGTACATCTTGAATGGCCTGAAGGTGAGTAAATCAACAACAAAATTTTTATTTATGAATAAGCTAACTTTTTAAAAATATCTGTTTATTTAACGCTGGAACTACTAGAAATATACACTCAACGGCCACGTTATCTGGTGACTGTGGAGGCCATTGGAGTACATTATCATGTTCAAAAACAGTCTAGAGCAGGGGTGTCCAAACTCGGTCCTGGAGGGCCGGTGTCCTGCAGATTTTAGCTCCAACTTGCCTCAACACGCCTGCAAGGGTGTTTCTAGAAACCTAGTAAAGCTGCGGGCACACTTGACTTTTCTCCTCATAGACTTCCATTCATACGTGCGCGAATGCGTCAGACCAGAAACACAGGGTCATGCGTCCAATTTTGCAGGTTGCTGCGGTGCAAAGTTTAAGCTTGGTGAACTCTGACCTGCGAAATCGCATCACTTGACTGCGTGAGACCAATCGAGGATCAAAACATGACTTCTCTGGACAGAAATTTAAAACATGGAGCAATCGCTCGCTTTTTTAAAAGTCTAATAAGCTTGTTTAATCCCGCCCCTTTTCGCAGCGCCACACGACAAAATAACGCACGCACAAACTCTAATGTGACCGCAGCTTAAAAGCTTAATTAGCTAGCTCAGGTGTGTCTGATTGGAGTTGGAACTAAACTTTGCTGGACACGGGCACTCCAGGACCGAGTTTGGACATGTCTAGTCTGATGTGATTTGCATTGTATGACATGGCGTATTACCCTGCTGGACGTAGCCATCAGAAGATGGGTACACTGTGGTCATAAAGTGTGCCAAAAAATATCCCCCACACTTACACCACCACCACCAGCCTGAACCCTTGATACAAGGCCGGATGGATATATGCTTTCATCATGTTGACGCTAAATTCTGACCCGACCATCCAAATGACTCAGCAGAAAACGAGACTCATCAGACCAGGCAACGTTTTTTCCAATCTTTTATTGTATAGTTTTCTGTTCTTAGCTGACAGGAATGACAACCGGAGTGGTCTCTTTGCAGCTGTAGCTCATCCGCCAAGTGGTTATTTGAGTTAATGTTGCCTTTCTATCAGCTGGAACCAGTCCGGCCATTCTCCTCTGATCTCTGGCATCAACAAGGCCTTTACGCCCACAGAACTGCCGCTCACTGGATATTTTCTTTTTTTCTGACCATTCTCTGTAAACCCTAGAGGAGGTTGTGCATGAAAATCCCAGTAGATCAGCAGTTTCTGAAATACTCAGACCAGCCTGTCTGGCACCAACAACCATGCCATGTTCAAAGTCACTTAAACCACATTTCTTCCCCATTCTGATGCTCATTTTGAACTGCAGCAGGTCGGTTTGACCATGTCTACAAGTATAAATGCATTAAGTTGCTGCCATGTGATTGGCTGATTATTTCGCGTTAACGAGCAGTTGTACAGGTGTACCTAATAAAGTGGCCGATGAGTGTATATTTGCTGGAAGGGTCAAAGCAGTTATTCTGGTCTTTCTCATAAAAGACATCACATTTACATTCAAAGCATCTATTAAGATATTAGAATTAAGCTTTGAATGTCTATCATCATATCTCATATAATATATTTATGAACGAGATATCCTTTTAAAAAATATGTGTTTGTTAATATGATTCAGGTAACTGGATATCAACATATTAACTTGAACTCAAAACACTTTTGATCAAACTGTGACAGAAGTTGACCCTAAAGAGAAAACCGTTTACACTAATGTCTGTTATATTAGCCCCTCTAGCAGCACTGGAAATGCAGTGAGTACATGAGTTGCATTTGGAATTGCAGTCTGACACAGTCCAGGACGCGACAGCGCATGAAATCAAGCTTGCATGGCTAGAAATGATTACATTCACATACTTACAAGGAGTATGTTTTGGGCCCTGGGCCAAAGCGTTCTCTTTAACCACCTTCAGTCTACACTCTCCTTCACTCGAGCGAACGTCAGTATTTCGTTCTCCTCCACGGGGGCTTGTGCATAAAGTTTAATGGGGGATAAAAAGAGAGAGCGATAAAGAGGATTTATCCAGCCGGGCACTTATAAATAAGGCCTCTAATGATGTTCCTGTCATTATTTATGTGTGACAGGTTTCAGACAGGCACCTCGAGGGACAGCCGAGACCTTGTCTTGTCGCGGGCTCGCAGTGCCCACAGAGGGGGACTGATTGATCAGGTTCCAGAGCGCGGTCTGTCTGAGATTGAGACGTGATAGTTGGGGCAGCTGATTGATGTGTGAGTGTGTGGATATGTGAGGACAGAATACATCAAGATGAGAGGCTGCTGAACAGACAAGCAAAGGCTGCTGGGTAGAGTCTGGCGATATCAGAGACAGATTTACAATAAAAACTAGCTTACAGTACTGTTTTTTTAGCATCTCCTATTCTACGACATGTGAAATATGACTGCAAATTACAGGAGGTATCATGGCCAGAGTGGGTCTCCTTTTCAGCCCTGGAGTTTCAAGCCTTAGACCTACCCACCTCAGTTCACGACTGACTATATTAAAACAAGGTCATTTCCAAATCAGTTTCTAAATACACTATCACGTCTTTTTTTGAGAAAACAGCTGCTTTAGAACTTCAAATGTTCAACAACCCTAACAGTATTATATGTCTTAACAATAAATATGAAAAAAATAAATTACTTAGACGAGGATCGAACCCGGGTCAGCGATGTCGTAACCTAACGTGCTAACCACTGGACTCATTTGACATATATCATTATATCTTGCTCACAAAGCTGCGAGAAAATAGATAAAAAAAAGAGCAGAGCTGCGGTAAAATAATAAATAAAAAGGCTGTGGTCAAGTAAATAAATAATTTAATTAAAAAAGTGTGACTGCTGAGAGCAACAGATTCTGGAGCTAGGGACACCGGCCCTCGTGGCCAAAAAACAGACCGGCCCACCAGGAACTCTCCCGGTCCTCTCGATTAACCAATCCGGGCCTGGGAGGTATTGACTCAAACATGAACATTCTTCTGGTACTCACTCTTAGGTCATGTCATCCAAAATGCTGTAACTTCTTTTCAATTCAGCAGGAAACATCAAACGTCAAACTAAGAGAGAAAATAAGTGAATTAATTATACAAACACACACACACACCCACAAATACAGTATATATAAATATCTATATGCTGTAAGAAATGTAGGCTCCACACAATTCCTTTATGTTGTCCCAACACAAATTGGTTAAGTTAACTTATTTAGTTTACAAATTTAGGTGGGTTAAACATAAAACAATTAAGTAATGACTCAGAAGGTTGTTTCTAATAAGATATAACAAGTGGTGGAAAGTACTGAAAAATCATACTAAGTAAAAGTACCATTACTTGCCTAAAAGTGTAGTGCAAGTACAGTAAAAGTGTCTGTTGTAAATATTACTCAAATTATGAGTGAAAAGTAGCCCTTTCAAAAGTACTCAAGAGTAGTGAGTATTGCGGTGTAAAAAGTGTGAATATGTGTGTAAACGTTACATTCTGTAGTGCATTTAGTCATTGCCTAGCAGGCCAATAACATCATAAGATATTAATATTAGGTTAGATTTAGGTTGTGATGTCAGGTGACCAAAATGCAATGACTAGCCAGTGTCTAAGAACAACGTTATTTTAATGTCTAATAACATTGTCAAATGACGTTGATATTTGGTTTATTTTAGGTTGTGTTAGAAACTGACCAAAATCCCACATTGAGCCAACATCTTAAACCAAAGTCATATTGACATCATTTATTCGTCCGTTATGGCAACCAAAATCCAACATCTTATAGACGTCACAGTGGTAACGTCTACACAACATCAAGCTATAATCATTAGACGTTGATATTTGGTCAATTTTAAGTTGGCCTTTGGACATTGATGTCAGCCTGAAGTTGGGTTCTGATGTCAGCCCAATTTTCATTTCCAAACAAAATGTAACGTCCCCACAACGTTGGGGTACAACATCAGCCTGACATCACGTTGACGTCTTGTGCCTGCTGTGTCAGATGTGTCGAAACTCAGTCGTGGAGGGCCGGTGTCCTGCAAAGTTTAGTTTCAATCAGAATCAGACACACCTGGGCTAGCCAATCAAGCTTTTACTAGGCTTTCTAGAAACATCCTTGCAGGTGTGTTGAGGCAAGTTGGAGCTAAAATCTGCAGGACGCCGGCCCTGCAGGACAGAGTTTGGACACCCCTGTGTTGGGTGTTTAAGATAATTTCGGTCATCATACAGTAAACATCCGTCATCCTCTAATCAATGACTACGTTTACATGGACACCAATAATTAGATTTTAATTCGATTAAGACAAAACTGAGTAAGAGTCGACCATGTAAACAGCAATTTTTGATTAATTTAATCCAATTAAGGTCATAATCGAACTAAAAAGAAATCGTATTAAGATGTGTGGAGTATGCCAATTTTAGTCGCATTATTAAATGCAGTACAAACATGTAAACATCTTAATCAAACTATTACAGTCATGTAGGACTTTTTGCTGAATTTTGCGACAGGATAGTTCACACACACACACACACACACACACACACACACACACACACACACACACACAAAAGACTGTTTGACACTCTTTGCACCTACCCTGTCAGTGCAGACCACAGACACCTGCATCGTGAAATGCGAAGGTTTTTTTTCTTCCAATCAACATGTGCATGCAGTATGAACTTCCATTACAACATCACTTCCAGCAGTTCATAGTTGCATCCAATATCTCGGTTGTCACGGAGGGCATGCATTAAGTGTTCGAGAATGAAAGTGTCAAACTGCAGTTAAAGTGGACAAAATAACGCGATCATGAAAGTAACACTCAAAAAGCAACTCATGTAAACACCTTAGTCTTAATATTATCTTAGATTAAAGCAAATTTGATTACTGATGTCCATGTGAACGTAGTCAGTGACATGCATCTAAACGTTCTCTGGGTCAATGGGTGAAAAGATTTTGGACATCTTCTTGGACACTTTTAACACTTCCAAGTTCCAAACAGTTTTCTGCATTTATAAAACACCCATGTCTTGAGGTTGTTCATTATGATGCGATTTACCTTCAATGTGCAATTTTATTGGACAGGAATTACAGGAATGATTTTTCTAACCCCCATAGAAAGGAAAAAGAGGTTGAAGGAAAGTAGTGGAGTAAAAGTACTGATACGGCACTAAAATGTACTCAAGGGAAAGTAATAACACACATTTTTACAACTTCCTAGTAAATTACAATTACTGAGAAAGACTAACCAACTACAGTAATTTGAGTATTTGTAATTTGTTACTTTACACCACTGGATATAACAATCAAAGGGTTTCAAACTGGACTTCATAAGAAACTAAATATTTAAGTTGTACACAAATGTACAATATTTACTTTGTTAGTTACAGTACAAATTGGGTAAATATTTATCCAATAAACTATATAGATGCAGTGTCGACAAAAAACGCTGCTAGAAAATCCAGCTTAAACCAGCCTGGGCTGGTTGGCTGGTTTTACCTGGTCGACCAGGCTGGTTTTAGAGGGGGTTTGGCCATTTCCAGGCTGGTTTCCAGCCATTTCCAGCCTGGTCTTAGTTGGTCAGGCTGGAAAATGACCAGCTAAACCAGCTGGACCAGCCTGGTTTAAGCTGGACATAGCTGGTTTTGGCTGGGCTCCCAGCCTGGCTAGGCTGGTCAAGCTGGTTTTAGCTGGTCATTTCCCAGCCTGACCAGCTAAGACCAGGCTGGAAATGGCTGGAAACCAGCCTGGAAATGGCCAAAACCCCTCTAAAACCAGCCTGGTCGACCAGCTAAAACCAGCCAACCAGCCTAGGCTGGTTTAAGCTGTTTTTTTCAGTACTGCCAAATAACAGCTTCTGAAAATTAACAAATGTGAAAATAAAAATGGCTATGATATTAATAAAGTATTAAACCTTAAACTACCAAGAGTGAAACCATAACTGAGCCACGAGGAACGAGTGCCAATCCTCAGACTTCACCTCAAAGTAAATGTGACGTTTTGTTTTTGGAAGTCAGTCAGTCTGTCTGTCTCTGTCTGTCATTGTCAGAAAAGTTTCTGTCATTTATTTCCACTTGTACAACAAGCAATTAAACGTCAACTATCTTAAACACGTCGTCTTAAATAAATCACGAGCGATATAATATCCATTTACCTCATATGCTGTTGATGAACGGCACTATCTCCATTCTCCACAAGCGCAGTTTAGGGCGTCCTCTGAAGTCGCGACACTTCCGGTTTCCTGACAAATGGGCTCTACCTTGAAATTTGGTCTCGATCAAATATCAGGTAAACTAATATAAAAATATAGTGTGTATGGTTAATACAAAATGCAAAGTAGCATAACTGTATATTTAAAACACATATGCCAATATTACCTGACTACTAATAATAGCAAAAATCATATTTGTTTACTCAATCTCTACTACTAAGTGACTTACAAAAAAAAGCAGTCAATAAAAAATAAATTAATAAAAAGGGAGACTTTGTTAGACTGTCATGAATTGATTATAGGCTATCCAAATATTTTATTTCACACTTATAGCAGACAACTGGAAAAACTTGTTTTCATTTAGCCTATTTATTAAGGTCTGGTTCAAACCAGATGGTATCATTATGAACTGTATAGCTACAGTAACCCCTACGGTGAAAAATATGTGCTTCACATCATGTGAAATACATGAAACGTGGTTTGGAAACTTTTTAATGTTTGTATTACTTTATTTTAAGATGTTTAATATATGAAGAGTTCAGATGCAAAAACCTCTAAATGCCGTCAGAAATTATTTTCTAAAATGAGCGTTTTTATCAAGCTCCAGTGTATAGGTTCAGTAATTTCACTTTTATGGCAAAGAATAAGTTATTTTCATGGTCTTCGAAGAGAAATAACTCAACATAAACCAAGGAGGCTGAGAATAATGCTAATTTTTGATGGGAATTTTAGACGACACAGAGGTTTTTGCATCTGAACTCCTCATACACACACAAGAACAAACATTGAATCGTACTAGACAAACAAAAGACAATATAAAAGGAAACACAAAAGAAAAGAGACAAAAAAAAACACACACATAATCACAAAACATACAATCAAGAGGGAATATAACTTAAACCTCAGAGGGGTCACTGGATTGCTCTTGAGATATAGATTTGTCAAATAAATAAAAAAATTGACCCCATGTAGCCAACAATTTCTTATGGAGCTAGTCCAGGGGTGGCCAACCCTGTTCCTGGAGAGCCACCTTCCTGCAAATTTCAGTTTCTACCCATATTAAACACACCTGAACCAATTAATTAGGACCTGTGATTTTCTTTAACAATTAAAATCTGCTTTTATTCTACAATAAAACAAATCAGACTTTCTCAAGAAGAAAAAATATTATAGGAAATACTGTGAAATATTTCTTGCTCTGTTAAAAATCATTTGCGATATATTTAAAAACGAAAAAAAAAAAAAACAGGAAAGCTAATAATTTTAACTTTAACTTTACATTTTATAGTAATCAGTCCAATTTTGAGGCTTTAGCCCCTTCCTCCAGCAGTAAGGCCATGCATGGTCTTAAGTGCCAATAGGGTTAATTCCAGTATGCATGGCTCAGGCAGGCCAAACCATGCGGTGCATCTCTGTCCCATTTGACGCCCGTCAGGAGCAGAGGCCAGGTGCGTAGTGCTCCCGTCGCGGCCTGACCTGTCGCCCAGCGGTGAATTATTCCACACCAGCCGCGCCACAACAGTTTAGAGGTGATGAATCGCCCAGGTGCTTGGCAGGCGGTGTGAATTTCATTTCCTTCCAACCAGCGGGTGTCTGTTTTTCCCCCACAACGTGCAGAAACTCTGTTCCTATTGAGCCAGAGCGTGTCCTTTTTGCCACGTGTCTCCCACTGACAGTTCTATTACCAAGAAAAATGAACAGGGGACATTAACTGCTCCATCCTGCCACGACACCTTCTGAAAACTACATGTGAATAGAGCGACCCACGCAGAGCCTTTCAGTTATTAGATTAAAGCCACTTGAGGCAGTGTACTGTATTATAGGGGTTTTAGCATTGGTGAAATTATTGGTAACAGTGTACATTCAGAATCCATTAGTCAGAATTATTAGCCCTCCTGAATTATTAGCCCCCCAAGAACCCCTATTTTGCATTTAAAAAGGTCATATTTTGGTTTTAGGGGTCTCCAACAACAGCCTGATATGCATGCAAGGTCAAAAAACACTTTCATGGTCTTTAAATGTGCATTTGTTTTTACCTAATTATCCCAACGACTCCGATATGATTCATTCAGCGATTCATTTGTTCCCAAACCCCTTTTTAGCGCGCAGCTAATCTGCCATGATTAGACCGATGACCCAGTCTAATGCTATTGGTTGACTGCGTTCAGCAAGAGACAGACAGAAATGCCCACCACGGCTACAGTATGACGCCTGTTTCACACCGCAAGCGTCAGCGGCGCGTGAGCAGAGCGTGAGCAGCGCGTTTGTCGAGCAGTAGCAGCACGCAGGCGTTTGCCTTTCACACCAGCTGCGTCTGCAGCGCGCAGCTCTTCGGCAGCTGCTGCTGAGATCAACCTATTTGTCAATTCTATCTAGTTACCCATGTCTCTCTATATACAAATACACTTTTTAAACTTTTCATCTGCACCAAGGCCCCTCCTATGCTGTTACTTTAACCTGCAAATGTTTATTTTACAAATTTTATAGATCAAATAGTACTGTATGCTTCTCAAGCTAACTTATATGAGAAGTGTCTACAGTCAGAAGACAATCGCCTGTGATATCATGTCATTTGTTTTTTGATTATCAGGTTGCTGTAGACCTAGTTATAATCATATTTATACAATATAGTTATAATGATATTTATACATGATCAAACTAGTGTTACTTTCTCCGCTTCAGTGATGTCCAGCGGCAGAATAACAGCTCGTTAATTCATGCTCGTGCAGATGATGAGACGGACAAAAGTAATTAATGCATGCCATTCTTTTACTTATTTTCGTGTTGTCAGATTCACAGTGCAAACAGCTCCCGGTAGGAATAATTCGAGTGAACATAAAACAAAGCCGATTAAAACTTTCTTCCTCTGCTCAGCTGCACAGAACACAGCGAGCTCACATAATCCAGCATGCGTGTCGCACTACACTACCCACAATACACTTCGCTATGGACTACAAATCCCGTAAATATTCCATTTCCCCTCTCCTACAACACTAGTGTGCAACTTAAGCAAAACTGATAGTAAAATTGTTTTACATTCGGTTTTGTAGTTCGGGCCTAAATAAATGTTTGTTGCCGTTTTTAATCGTTTTAAGTTCATTTGAATGACTATATATAAACCATTTGACATTATTAACGCATTTATTGGGTAAAATTGCTACTTTTTACTGTCATTCAATGTGTTTTGGTCATTATCAATGCACTGTCACTTTAATTGAGCGTGAGCAGCGCGTCAAAAATAGACCCAGCGCCGAAACTATCGCTGCACTGCTGCTTCGGCGACGCTCACGCCTCGCACTGACGCGCTGCTGCTGCGTGCGGTATGAAAGCTCTAATCTGTTAACATGGACGCCGAAAACACACGCGCTGCTCACGCTCTGCTCACGCGCCGCTGACGCTTGCGGTGTGAAACAGGCGTGAAGCAGCGCAAAGTATGTGAGAGCCCAATGCAGGAATGCAATAAAGCAATGCAGTTAAACAGCAGCATATTGCTCTCCTCTTAAACCTAACCCCAAGTAATAACAGCGACATGCATTCAGTATTAATCCACACAGTGGCAAATGTTGAACTATTTTGAAAACTGACCGCACCACATGTGAGGAACAGCTAATGATAGCCAAAGCAAAGGCAAACAGCAGAGGATCGCCAACTCAGAAAAGCATTTAAATCGGTAAAAGAAGAAACACGTATCGCATTTTTAACATAGCTTTGGGTGGGATATTTGAACAGCCCATACAGATTTAACCTGAGAGATACAGCCGCGGGGGGTGATTACAACTTATAACACACAATTAAACACATATTTTGCAAACTACACAAAACAAGGTAACAATTTTAATGACACTTACATGTTGTGATCTGGAGGAAGAAGAAACTGGTCCATAGGAACTGTAAAAGTTACTGACAAAGTCCCTTTCAAAGTTTGACAAAGTCCCATTGTCTCTGCTGCTCCTTCAATAGCAAACGTCTCTGCTGCTTCTTTAATAGCAAACAGCTGTCGAATGGAACAAATCACTGAGAAAAGCGCATCATAAATAAAATGTATTAATATTATTATTATTATTGTTATTACATTCACGCATATACACTATGGCCAATTTAGCTTATTCAATAAAAAACCTATAGCGCATGTCTTTGAACTGGGAAGGAAACCGTAGGAAACCCACGCTAACACAGGGAGAACATGCAAACTCCACAAAGAAATCCCAACTGGCCCAGCCGGGGCTCGAACCAGCAACCTTCTTGCTGTAAGACAACTAGGCTAACCACTGAGCCACCGTGACGTCGATTCTAAAATTATTTTTATATAATGTTAGAAGAGAAAATAGATTCAAAAGTGATCAAGAGAGAGGACCAAATTAAAAAATATAGATCAGAACAAGCAGTAGACGTAATAGAAATAGAAAATGTTTTCAATAGAAAAGAGAGAACAGAAAAAGAGATTAGATAGTGATAGTTAAATGATCAGATGTATTTTTAAAGTATTTTAGTCAGATATTTTTAAATAGAGTACAAATCGAGCATATTTATAAGAGTCTTGACCAAAAAATGCTGAGTCTTGAAGAAGAATATATAGAAAATGGAACAAATCAGCAAAAGAGCAATACTGTTTAAGTGCTAGTCAGAGTTGGCCAATTGCATTACACACATCAATGGTTCTACAGAATAAAACTGCAAGAATCGAAATAAACCTGTTACACTCTAAAGTCTAGTATTACAAGAATGCATTCAAGGATACTGCTCTGTCTATTCCAAACAGTAATATGTCATTAGGCTATTCATAATTCAGCCTGCGATCACCTACCAAAAGCATCATCTTTTGCAGGACTCCTGGTCTCAGTCTCCTGTGTGCACACAAATGCAGAATTTATAGTTTGTGGTTTACAGAACCTTAATGTCAAGGCACCTGCATGTATATCATTCCGATTTAAGATTCTGTAAAAGTCTTTACAAGGACAGTAATAGTATATTTATTTACACTACCAGTCCCCTCACAGA